ATCGAAATAGTAATGACTGTGATATGCTTAACTGCATTTGTGACATTCGTATTAGTTACGCGGTGGGCGGTTTTTTGATTGTGCTGCGATGCTCACGGCGTGACGAATTTATCCGAAAGAAAGGCTTTTCGATTATTGATTTGTTTGTTTTCATGATAGCCATCGTTTTTTTTTNTTTTTTTTGAAACGCATTCACCGAGAATGTTTCATCTCTTAAGTGGAGTAATTACTATTCTTGTCAACGTGTTCATATTTTGATTTGTCAAATACATTTGCATTTGTCGTTTCAGATTTTGTCAGATTGGCTGAAATTTTATTGTGTTTACGATCACTGTATATGATTTCATGCGAAACATACTTGATTTTCCCGTTTCACCAAATTTGGTTTCTGTTTTGAGTGCATTCAATCAGTTTTGATCCTACAATTGATCGCTTGCTTATTAGTTTAATTGGAAACTGGAGTGCAAAAAGGCTGGAGCCTAGTAGTGTTCAACTCACAGACAGGGCGTCGGAAATGACGAAATCTTACAGGAGAATATTGCAAACGCTCAGTTGGCAGATAGGGTATCAGGAAAAAGCAAATCTCCCTAAACCTCCAAGACGATGGTGAAACAGATTACGTATGCCTTAGTCTGAGCACGGAGCGGCACAGCCCCGAATTCGATGCGTTTCACTTTCTGTCGAAATTTTCGCCAATTCTCATCCTAACGCACCGGATGATTCCATTGCGTCGCCAAACTGTAGATTACATCTCCCCGTCGGTCAGTGAAAATAAATGAAATGAAAAATTCTAAAAAAAAAGTGCAATCGTTGAAAGGGTCGTTTAATTAGTTTGGTTACCAACTACTGCACGTATAAACTCATTTCATCTCATTTCATCCTCTATAATTAACACTTGAACGATAAGACATATCGATGATGAGCACACATTTGTATACATGTAGACAGCATACAGGCAGAATGCTGAATGAATCATGAAAGTGAGGTGGATTTTTGCGTGAGCGTTGTTGATGGGTTTAATGGATTCATGATATTGTGAGCAGTTAAAATATTGGTTGTATTGGTTCAATGTGATGTGAAGTGGTGGTAGATAAGAACGATTCACGAGAAAGAAGAAGAAACTTGAGTAGTGGTGATGAATTGAATGTTGTTGCGGTGATAAAGAAGATACTCTGTACCCCGAGGGGACTTGAAATAAAGACGGTGGGGAATGGCGTGCGCTTGATGTGAAATAATTATCAGCATCTAGTTGCCTGTTGAATATTGTGCAGTGAATGCGCATGGTATTGATATTGGTGTGTATAATTATATAGGATGATTGAAAGGGATTGTCCTTATTGAGAAAACAGACACAGTGTTTGATTGTTCAGTTCGTCACCATACTAGTCGCCTGATACAAAAGGGAAGTATCAATCATTCTAAGGAGTCTGATGATGGTATGTATTTTCAGTGAATGAAAGAATGAATGGATTGATTGATTGATTGATTTCACTTCATGTTTGCAATTCATTTTTCTTTGCTACTTTATTTGATTTTGACTTTTTTCATGTTCATTCGATCCATCTTTACTTTGCTACCATCATTACAGTTATAATTTCATATTGTGGGCACTTACCATTATTCACTTTAACTGACCCATGGTTCAGTCAACCGTTCGACTCACAATAGGTTTGAGCTAACGAGATGCGAACGAGGCGTAATAATGAGAATGGATGATGAAACAGCTAATAAAACTAGACCAGTAAACAAACAACTTAGCCACAGTCATAACTAAAGCTGAGTCTCGTAAAGCAAATCTAAGCTGTTTGTTAGCTGGCGTGTATGCGTGTTTGTGTGCCTGGCTTGGCTGCCTGTTGCCACCCAGCTGATAGCCGTTTAAGTGAGTGGTGATAGCCAAGCAAAAGAATGCTAGCATAAGCGGCACAAACAACCTAGCGCACGGCAAAAGAGCCTGGCGCTTGTTAATCCTGCACACGAACGTGCGAATGAATGAGCTGAAGGCCAGCATTGGTTAGTTGATGAAGCAGTTGTAGTGTTGTTTGTTTGGCTTGATCTTACTTCGTTGAGTTTATCTTAACTTTACTTATCGCTACTCTTAGTGAACGTTCGGCCGAGGCTGCGCATAGCTTAATCTAAACCTATTCGGCTCGTTTGCCTCTGTGCTGCTTACCCCGCTCTGAAACATATTTGCGTGTCTGTCTCTTTCATATTCATTTATCCAGTTTATTTACTTTTAGTGCGCGCTGCTTAATTTCAGATGATTGATTATTTTGGTTTCACTCTCACAGATTTTAGTCAGCAAAAGGTTTGTCCGTCTTCCTTTTTCCTTCATAAAATGTGTCCTGTTCTGTCTCTAAGTTTAAAATTAGTCATGAGAAATGCGTTAAGTTCAACCTAAAATTTATTGCTTCATTGTTTTCGTTGTTATTGACGAATAGAAACAAACAAAGTTGAGCTGAGTGAGGTGAAACGAATGTTTGGTTAAGCATTATTAATTGTCAACTTATTACTCCTTATCACCTGTTTAAATCGTACTCTATCAATGAAGTAAAAGATTTGCTGCTCAATGATCTATTGCAGGCTTATCACTTAGTTCTTAGTTGTTTAGACTGCTTGTGTCTCATGACTACTCGTGTTAAAGTAGGTATTCGATTACAATTGAATGAAATCTGATGAAATTTCGTTGAGCACACTCTAGGATTTGGTCGGATAAGTAGAAAATAGCAACACAGCTTTCAGCATCTGGCGAATGCCGACAGTTAGGAGGATTCACTTTTGATGCGAGTGCAGCGTGATTATGAGAATGTTCTGAGATTAGATTAATTGTAAGGCAAATTATCTGGATATGATGAGTTAACCCAGTGTTGTTTGCGATGAATTTGTCTTTAATGAAACTTCTCTGTATGGCATGATTCACTAGTGTTAGATTCGAAATTTTATTTGCTTACAACATTACTCATATGACCGTTTTTCGAATTGCGGTGTTTTAAAATGTGTTGAGAAATGTAATGATCGCGACTTTCGTGGTTGTTTCGATTGTATACCACCACGAAATTAGGTGATTAAATCGCTCGAAGCTCGTTCAAAAAATTTCTGATGATCTGAATTTTTCAGCTCGGCCTAATTGTTTCTTTACTTTCCTTTTCTTGTCACCCACTTCCTATGCTCATTGAATGCTCACAGGGAAGGATATCTGATAAAATCTTTCTTGTTGATATATATGATATTTATGGTTGATAAATTTTTGAATTGTTTATACACACAGAACACGGTAGTGCGCATTATTTATTCCTAGTGTACTTTTGTTGTATGTTATTTCCATTAGAAGTGTCATTCGGTTCGTTGTTATGCCTGCAGGCATGGACTAGTTAGTTGCACGCACGCCCATCTAAACGCTGGCTCGATTGCGTATTTTTTGTCGACTAGATATTGTGTTGGAGGACGAGCGGGTAGAGGAGAATTAGATTGATGAACGCACTGAGTAAGAGAGGGTGCATTCATGAGAAAATGTTAATTAATTTTGACGTCGATTACATCGAATTACTCGCAGTCATTTTCATAGAATTTTGGATGACATTCTAAATTATTTTCAATTACTCATTATGTATTGTTCATGGAACATATATATA